CCTGGCTCCTGTAAAATAAGACAAATTGACTTTATCACATGAAGTATTCATTTTTAGTTATCACCTTTACTCAGACCTAAAACTACTCCCAGATACCTCCCAGGATGACCTTCAAGAAATCAAGTGATAATCTGAAATGGTAACCAAGGTGTAGAATTTAATCAGCATCAACCCAGTCAGAGAAACAGCTCAGTATTTAGGGAGGTACCACAACTGTTGATAGTGTTTGCTAAGTGTTTGTTAAGTGATAGGAACTGCACATCCTGACACATTCACTGGACAAGTATTTATTAAGTGCCTAATCTTTATGGAAATTAATGAAACATGCTCAGATTCAAGGAAAGAGTCAGCCAAACTAAGTAATAACCCTATCATTAAAGTATCCTTCCTCCTTTTCTCCTCTTCTCTGTAATAATTCAACTCTCAGGGTCAAATTGGTGAAGGAATGGTGAGACTCTAGGGTCTGCCTCTGATGTCCTCACTATTTATTGTGAGAGCAGGGGTGGGGGAGAGTCATGAAAATGTGACTGCCAATGTGCTGGCATTAGTCAGGAAAAATCCCAGTATGATATGTAGTCCTACCACTTTTAGTAAAAGTGGCTATTAAACCAATTTTCAGTTTTTATAAGGCCATTTTATCATTAGTAAAATATGTAAAAGACCTATTTTTAGGAATTATGTGAAAACATCAAAAATGTCAGTAAGCCAAGTCAGGTAACATATTTACCTACTTTACACTTTTCCCCTTTATTGAGAAAGGCAAAAACAGAGAGGCTATATACAAGGACTTCATATATCATTGGTCTAAGGCTCTCAAGCCTAAGCCTCTCCTGACAAACCCAAGGTCATGAGGTCTATCCAGTACTACAATGATGTTGATGTTGTAAATCCAGTAAGAATTGGCATGGATTAACTTTTCTACATGTGATAATCATAACTTCTTTTGAAAAATGTTGTTTATCAAATACTTATTTGGTACTCTCCAATTTTTATTCCCGTAGAAGCAGAAATCAATATATTGACTTTTTCAGTCTTTTAGCAAAAATCAATTCCTAGTGTCAATTTTAAAAATTGTTGCCTTTTTATTAGACAGTTGTCTCACTATACAGCCCAGATTGTCCTGGAACTATATAGCTTAGGATGGCTCCTCCTTCCTCAGACTTCAGTGCTGGGTTTCTAAATAGTGCCACACATTTAGTATCTGCTGTCTTTAAAGTTCTTTGCTTTCGCCTTCCTGACATTGATCCTAAGGCTGTTGGAAGCTCAGCCTCTTAATATACTATTAGGTGTTCTCTACACCACTTGCAAACTGTTTTCCTACCTACCCACCCACCCACACTCCCTAAACTATTTCATCCATAACTTTAACCACAAGCCCAACTGTTAGGTGTTCTCAAGGTGTTTGCAGACTGTTTTCCTACCTACTCACTCACACTCCCTAAACTATTTCATCCATAATTAGAACCATACACACTATTTTTTGCACACACACCCCCTCTTAAAGACTCTTGGAGAAAGGTATCATGCAAGCTAGACAAACCGTGTTTTCTCTCCACCATTCCAAGTCTATTCCTTAGTTTAAGTATTCTCAGTGTGAGCAACATCTATTCAGTTGCTCAAGTCCAAAACATGGGAGTTGGCTTCTTGCACTCCCACATCTTAATTCAACCACAGCCAACCCATCATTTGGCCACAAATCCTTACCTCCAGTCTAGATCAAGGGGATAGTTTTAGTCTCCTTGTTCTCTGTTACCCCAGCAATCCATTCTTTATCCTCACTTACACAAAAACCTTCAATAGTTTTCTACTACATTTATAATAAAAAATATACTAGTTTATGTTCTTTGGACAAGCCACTCTTTTTCAGCTCATTATCATTATGTGTGCAGTTCCTCTGGCCTAGAATATTGTTCCACCCTATCACCAAACTATCCTTCAGGTCTCAACATCAGTTCAATTGAGTCCCCTTAAAGACACTAACAACTTACTTTTTACAGCACTGAAAAAAAGTAGTTTATAACTACATCATTTGTCCAAACATTTGATTAATGTCTGTCTAGGTAATGCATATGTTTTACTAATCACTGCATCATTCCACAGTGACACAGCCATGTGGCCAGCATCTAAGACATCCCTTCCCTCCAAAATATCTGACAAATAAGAACACATGAATCTCAGTCCTGCCGCATAATACAGGCAAGATGCACAGAAGATATTCATACCTCTGTAGCTGAACATTTACACAAAATACTTTGAAAAGATCACAATGATGAGCAATGAATGGAATCCAAGTAGAATAGAGTCCTTTTCCTAACAAGTTCCTAGAACCCTTATATCTCTTTACTTCCATAGCTCCTAGCACAGACTAAAGACCCATGGTGTGTCTAAAATAGTGTAATGATAATCCAATGCTAGAATCAATGTTGTAAAAATTCTAAATACAATTAATCAAGGACTAGAAATATTAGAGAACCATTTTATCAATCTCAAAAGGTGAGGAACAACTTTTGAGGATCTAGCAAACCCATGTTATCTTCCTGCTCCTGTCTGCTCCTCCAACAGTGGTATGTAGCTATATCTGTACTACACCACATGTATTTCTTCGATCTACCTGTTAACATTCTGAACAGTCTCCTGAAGACTGTGACCTGGAGGACTGTGGCTTGCTAGAAACCAATCCAGGTAGAAAAAGTCTTCTAGAGTACATCTCCAACTAACCAGCAAAAAGCCACTTGAGGTATCACTCAAGAGGTAGAATGCCAACCCACAGGCAAGCAAATGGAGAACAAGGTCCTGAGTTCAAATTAAAATACTGGTAAAACATGTAAAATAGACAAAAGTTTCTCTAGTTGTTTTGTGGAAGGAGAGTGACTTAACTAGGTAGCTTTCTCACATAAGTACTTGACAAATGTCAAGGTCCTTCCTATCCTTATCAGAAGAACACTGAAAAAAAAATAACTTGTAAAATATAAAACAGACATCTGAGAGGAGGATGAGAGTGTCACTATATGGTAGAGCTCTTGTGTAGAAAGCACTATAAAAGACAAAAACAGACAAAGAATTCATTACACTACCTGTTATACAAATGAAAGTCCCAATTTAACATTTTGTATACTATATTCATCTATAGCATAGCTATGAAAGAAATCTAAAACTGAAATACTAAAGTTTAACTGTACTTTCTGAAGGGCCAATAAAAGAGCAAAGTTAAAAACTACACCAGCCACATTTTCCAGGCACCAAACTACCCAGCACCTAACAATACAAGTGTTCTGTTATGTAGATGCTCTACACTGAGTGAAAACAAAGACACAAATGCAAACACAAACACAACTAACGCCTTGGAAAACTTGGAAGTGCATTGCTTCTGATAATATTTAAATCAAAACAAAAGCTTTCAAGCTCAAGATATTGAACAACCCACATCTTAAATCTACTGATTAAGACAAATACAGACTGCTTTACCGATAAACAACTTGATTTGGTGAAATAGATCTGAAATATTCTTGCATAATATTTTCAATAGCAAGAATGCCCCCAAGAAAAGGAAAATTACCAACTTCCATTCCTACTTTAGTCTACAAAGATTTGACATTTTTAAAAAGAAAAAATAGGTAAGAAGGAAATTGCAAAAGCTCAAAACTGTGTTTTAGAAGATGTAGTACTTTTGATATGATAAAATACCACACTAGAACAACAACGGAGTAGTATCATTTAAAGCTAAATGATGTCAGGCTTTTAAATAATCAATAAGCTGTAAGGGTGGGAACTATGCAATTACTTCAAGCTCTGAATGTTACTTTATCAAATACAGTCTTGTGAGATGACTCTTTGCAATCAAATAAATACCCAAAGAACCCAAAGAACTGATCACATTTAAACTTATCCTCTTTTCAATCTATGTGATACTAACTCTGCAGTTACAAGTTTCATCAATGTAGTTATTATACACTTGTAAGGCAGAAATAATCCCAACCCATAAAAAGCTAAATATTAATCCAGCCTCCAAAACATCAATCTACAGCACAGAAGGGGATGGGAAAGGACAATGGCTCAAGCGGTAAAGCACCTGCCTGGCAAGCCTAAGCCCTCAGTTCAAACCCCAATATCACCAAAAGAAAAAGTGGAAATCAAACGTACCCACACTATCTCAAAATAGTGATTTTTCAACTCTGGTGATCACTGACAAAACCTGCAATTAGTTTTTGGGGAAGCCTTTGCATTCACTGCATTCACAACTGCTTGTGTTAATTTCCCAGGTCTTTTTGGACTTTCTCAAGAAAAAGACCTAGGCATGTTTTCTTTAAAGACGTGTGTGTGTGTGTGTGTGTGTGTGTTTACACAGTCCTTTCTGTGTTGCAAATAAATGAATTTATCCAACCACCAGGAATAACATGTACCAAGATTTAAGAGATCTATAATCCTTTGCATATTCAAGATTGCAAAACACGGACCTTTAACAATTCACAGGCCACAGAAACACCTATTAAGATTTTCCTTCTTTCACAAACCTTGGCACTCTGGGGATCCCTAATGGGTTCACAGGAGGCAGTCTAAAATCTAAAAAGGACACAGATGGTAGGTGTTCTCCACCCTATCCCAAGAGAGAGCCTCACCTAAGCCTCCTCCCCCCACTCTCCTCCTGGGTCCCCCCCCCCAACCCAAGTGTAACTGCAGAGAGGTAGAAAGCTGTCAGTCGTGGGCGAGAAAGGCCAGCGCAGCAGCGGAGATCTGTGAGCTGGATTTGTGAAGGCTGCGAAATGCAGCCTCTCTCGGGTATCACGTAACCAGCCCAGCCCGCCGCAAACTTCGAGGAGATTAAGTTACATTCCTCGGCCAATTCCACACTTGACAGCTGAATCCAGATGCCAGCGAGAGTGGCGGACGCTGTCCACTGCGGCCACCTCGCCCGGGAGAGTCGGCGGCCCCGTCCCGCGGTCAGCGCACCCCGGGGGGGGGGTGCAGGGGGGGGTGCGGGAGGGGACGGGTGGCGGGCTCACCTTTTCCAGCTCGTCGTGCAGCTCCGCCAGGCTGGGCCGGAGCAGCTTCTCGCCCAGCTGCGCGGCCGTGTGCCGGTAGTGGTCGATCCTGGGCACGGCGTCCATGGTGTTGTGGCCGAAGGTGCGCAGGTAGTAGGTGTTGGTGTGGGTGTCGTAGTAGTACTGCTGGTGGTGGCCGCTGCTGCCGCCGCCGCCCGAGTGCAGGCTGCTGCCCTCGCTCAGCACCGTGTCCCCGCCGTTCTGGAAGCTCACGTTGGGCGCGTCGCCCCCGACCCCCGCCGCCTCCGACAGGCTGTCGTCCGCCGACGAGGAGGCGGCCGGGTCCACGAAGTTCACGCGGAAGCGGCCCTTGGCTTCCTCGCTGCC